AATTATCTGAGTTTTTACAAATGTTGATAGTGAAACAACGTGACTCCAGGAAACACTTCGACATGCACGTATCGGGGTCSGTGATAGGTCGGATAGTACGAATGCTGTGATTGGCTAGTGCCCTACCCTCGGCAACATATGTAAACTGTGTTTTGCGACAACGTMCTGTAAGAAAAAAAAAACAATTATAAAAAAATCCGCAGATTATATTCAAGAAAATGACACTTTTAAATATATATGAGAGAGTACATCACAAAAGGGGTCTTGGCTTTGACGGAAATATCCAGGACGTTCAAAAGACGCAATTAATTCACTCGGTGCATCAAAAGGGTCCTAATTCTTTGTGTCACTTTTGTGCTGTCCATCCTCAATTCATTGTCCTGCCTGCAAGGAAGGTCTCTAATCAATGGCAGCTTTTTTGATCAGTAATAAAGGAAAGGAAACTGCGCGCCTTCTGGTCTATTGTCCAGCAGCATGACGGTCAAGGCGCGGTATTTGTGCAGCTGCGTAGCATCGGTTGATTTGCGTCTTGCCTGCTCTGTATTGGGAAGGTTCAGGGCAAGATGAGAGAGTACATCACAAAAGTGTTCTTGGCTTTGGCGGAAATATCCAGACGTTCAAAAAACACAATTTATTCACTCGGTGCATCAAAAGGATCTTAATTCTTTGTCTTCCTTTTGTGCTGTCCATTCTCATATACATTTATACAAGACAGTTCGAAAATAACTGAAAAAATTATTCCTTTATATATTTTCAAGAATGCCTGAGTTTTTTTCAATATATTTTATAATGCATCACATAATTTCATATACTGTATTTTTATATATTTTCATATATGTATACACACCTAAAAGTGTCATTTTTTCTGAAATCGGTGTATATRAAATAATTAACTTTAATACATAACTTTTATTATAACTTTAACACATATATGAACAAAAGAGGAAGCAAAAATATGTCATTTCCATCAAGCCCGGTAAAGGGAGAAATGCCACCAACCCGATCAATCATTGTTAGTGAGTCCTTATACAGATTCTTTGGAAATTATAAATTTTGAGCGGTTGTTGAGGGACTTTATTATTCAAACGTCAGACATCTTTGATGGGTTGTTTGAGTGATCTAGCACTGTTGGGCTGTCAGATTTATCACATCCGCCCGAAAGCATCTTGGTTTTGGACCGTAACTCCTCATCCCTAGATTTCAACGTAAAATCTCACCGTTTTCTGTTGTTTTCTTTTTTTTTGTTTGTTTGTTTTTTGTTTTTTCAACATTGGCAAGGATCTCCCGCTGTTCACGAGAAATCTAGAGAAATAGAATTTTCTGACGCCTAAATAAAAATAAACTGAAGKAGTCCCTAGAACTTTTTCTTGGGGGTGTTCTTTTTATGTGGTCTTAAGTCGAAAATTATAACCAAAATGACGGATATTTAAGGGAYTGGAAATGTCTTGTGTTGACAGCAACACTTTTGTCGTTTCACTGGGAATAATGATTATAACCAAGACAAAACTTCTAACATTAGTAGGATATTATAGAGCATATCAGACTCAAGTAGACTTTTGTCAGACTACTGACAAATTAACTGTTCTAACTTTCCAAAGAAATAGAAATAGGAGACTTATGCATATGAAATATATTTTTAAGGATTTTGCTCTGCTTTTGATTCAATTCTTAAAAACTTTGATTGTTTTTAGATGCTTGTTTGGGGAATATGAAATACTTTTAAGTATTAAACATTTAAAAATGTTTTTTTGTTATGATACATATAGACTAACTATCATCGAACTAACGTGTAAAGCATCGTATGTTTTTAAAATTTATTTCTAACTTCAGACTATCGGTTCCTCGACAATGAACTCACCATATTTTATTCACTCATTTATTCATTTTTATTAACTTTTATTGTTGCTTTTAAAAACATTGTATTTSTTCAATCTTTCTTTCAAAACTTTGACTCCAGTCAGTCCTAAAAACCTTCAACATACTGTTGCTCATAAGGGTGATTAATGACCTTAGAAGTCATAAAGCATTTCGAGGATGCAAGACGAAAGCAAAGCGAAAATACCTTAGGAGTCATATCTCTTCTTAACATCAACAGGAGGAAAGAAATGCTATACCATAATATTATAGATATGATATACTATTAAGAAAGGAAAGCCTAGAATRAACTAAAGAATTCATACCTTCTGTAGAAGCACTAGTCAAGTATAAAACTATCAGAGCCTTCAGTAGTATGACATGTCCTTTACTATCCATATTTGAATGATGACAGGTGAAATAACACAGTTATATTGTATAATGTGAGACCCATAGGGATTCTGGGTCGTGTATCTTAATTATTCATTAATTAAATTGMTCGATAGAGACCTGTATGCTTGTTTTGGACGTTAATTKTGGATTTGTGTAGAGTATCGGTCTCTCTGTAAAGTATTGGGGCGAATCAACCAGTTCRAATCGAGATTACCTAACACTTATGCTCGGTTGAACGATTCTGTTACAATTTGTTTGAAAAATAATGTTCAAGCAGTCTTTCAAAACGAATAGAAGATGTACATAATTCATTTTGTTAATTCGAAAAGAAGAATCGTTCAAAGTCGCGGTACACATTGATGACGGCGTGTCAATAAAATCATAGCTTGAGAATCCAGCTTGAGATTTCTCCAATTAGTCTTTTGTATTTGACAACTTATTAAGACCCTGATTACATGAGACAGGGTGCCCCTACGTGGTAGGGCTAACTCTTTTGTTTTCTTTTCCCTGGAGGATTTAAAACAAAGGATCTTGGCCCTACCACTAGGGACACCTTATCTCATGTAAACAGGGTCTTAATAAGTAGTCAAATACAAAAGACTCAAGACGAGACGCCGTGCATAAAGCTCAGTTGTAAGCAAAGAGACAATACTTAGAAAGTTAGACATAAAAAGATTTTTCTGAGTAGACCGAAATCAGTAGTCGACTTTAGATATCTTGGTTGAGTAAGCATAGTGTACAAAAGAACTGGGGAGGGGGTGAGTAAACAATGGATACTCTTTAATGTATTCCTTTATTTCCCCGTAGCCTCGTCTATACTACCCAAAATATATGTAAGTCGGCTATTACAGGGWAACAAAATCTCGAAAAAAGTCTGTTGATTAATTTTGGACTCGAACTCTCGTATTCTAAGTGCCAAGCGTTAGGGACTGAGCAACAAAAACTACTTTTGTCAATTGTTGTTTTAAAAGATTTTTTTCCCCAGGGGGCGGGGTGAGGGAATTCCTAAAGAAAAAGGWGCGGGGATCCCAGGGGTTGATAATGACAAAAATTCCCACCAACTGAGTTTTGTGGTCCCTTTTAGGGTATGCAACGACCCTAAGCCGTCATTAAACAACAACGTCGTCATAAACTCAATACTAACCGACGGCGTTTGATGCTTGTATCTCACAATACAGGTCCCTTTTAGGGGTCATTTTCAGAATTTCCGACGAGGACCCCCGCCCTTTTTATTAGGGAGTCCACCCTCGGGGGGTTTGTTAAAGCTTGTTATCGTCTTTACCGTTGAATAGAATAGATGAGGTGACGGTTTTGGCCGGCATCTTGTCCGGTAGGCATATGGTCGCAAATTAACCAGGAATGACCGGGAAATCGATGTTAAATTATTCCCGCTGACTTCAAATTCGGAAAGAGCTATCAATTTCAAACGTTAGATACTTTAAAAAGGAGTTAACTGGCCAAATTTGAGGTACTTGATCTAGAGAGCGAGTAAACTCATTTTTAGTTCCCCATACATTTCTTTGTAATTTCCGAGGTCARCAGAGCGTGACGCGCTTGAAAAATACAAAGAAATGTATTTAGAACTAAAGATAAATTTTCTCGTTCCCTAGATGAAGTAAATCCTTAAAATTTGGCCAGGTAACTTCTTTTTGTAATATCTAACGTTTGCAATTAATAATTCTTTCCGAATTTGAATTCGGCGAGAATTATTTGKCATCGATTTCRCSGTCATTCCTTGRTATTTTGCGACACTATGCCTACCGGTCCAAGATGGCGGCCAAAGCCGTCACCTCATCTATTGGAAAGCAATTCTCTAAACCCTCGTTCTAGGAATTCAGAAAGGATTATCTTATTACCAATTACCTCCTAGCAATTCCTGAAAATTTGAAGGCAATTGATTAAATATTTTAAGAGATATCAAGCGCCGAATTTGCAAGATTTTCTAAAGAAATGACCGTGGTTGGCATTATGTTGCCAACCATGAATGTTTTTTTATAGATTCTGTAGTTTTAAAATATTATTTCGAAATGTAAAAAGGAGTTTGCCCTAAAATTTTCGGATTTTGTTAAAATCAATATAATCTTGAATTATATATATGATATCAAAGAGGCAAGATTTTGCTGTAACTCCGAGTTTCGTGCTACGCACTCATCAGACAGTATTTAATCTTGAATTATATGAGTTCAGATTGCTTATTTTTTGAATTTCATATTTTGGATGTAAACAAACTACGCAATTGTATGCCRACCTATACAGACCGACGATTAACAATTTAAACCGATTAAATGAGATAATAATTTACCCATGCAACATTAAAGTATATGAATTACACAGTTACTCAAGGACAAGCACCTGATACAGTTTAAAAATAAGAATAGGGCTGTAGCAGAAACCTACAAGGGACTACAAGGAAAATTGGAAATTGGAAAATTCGACCGTTGGATAAGAAATTTATMYCCCGTTCTGGTTGGCTAGGGTAAATTTAATTCCTCCAATTAAGGAAATGAGATGCAAATTAGATTTGAGTATTCCAACGGTTGGRACGGCGTTAGATGTTTCAAGTCCCTTTATTATAGGTTTTTGGTTGTAGCTGAGGTATTTGAGTATTCATGTGTTGATCATTTGTGTGGACTATTTGGGCCTGTCAGCGATTTCTCCAATTAGTTGCAATGGCCCATTTGCGACTTTTGCTTAAGACTCAAGAGGATTCGCCGTGTATAAAGTCAGCCAATATATAGTACTATTTTCTCAAGATATATACTAGTGCTGTATATGACGTGTCACCACCATTCTCGGTGATTAACTCCTACATAAGCGCTGTGACCTGTTATCCATCTTTCCTCCATCATCATCATCATGTTTTCCCCAATGGCCGTACCACAGCCGATGGGCCTCTTCCTTTAAACGTTTTTCAAGGAATTGCAAGAGATCGCTTTTTTTCATAATTATTCTTCTTCATGCCAGCTGTTTGTCGATGTCAAGAGCACGGTGGACCTTACTCCACAGTCTAACCCGTGAATTAGCAAACACCATTTCTTTTTGGTATGAATCATTGTTCATTCTGCATACGCGGGCCAGGTATTTAAGATGCTGTTTAGGGTGAGTTTTAGTAATATTGAGAAGTTCAGTGTCTGTTGGATATCTTAAAGCTCCAGTCAACTGGGTCAGCTGTGGCAGCAGTGCTATTGTTCTTTCTCTTCTTCGAATCTAGAGCATTCTTTCGTTTGTAACCTCCTCGTATCTTCTTCCTAAGGAYCCCATTCCATACAACTTCCATTTTTTTTKTTTCTTCTTCTGATAACTCCCATGCTTGAATGCTGTACAGCAATCGTGATCTTATGTCGTCTTTCGATCGATACTCCCTAGGAGAAACTTCATTTGGGATGATTTAGTTTACTTTAAAGCCTGATTTTGGGATGGATTGTGATATTTCATGTCGTGCAACTCTAGCCACGAAGTCTATCAGTCTAAAACAAAAGTCTAAAAAGTCCTCCGTGGCTTTTACAATTGTATATAAATACTGCATTTTGTTTCTTTTCCGTGGAAAATCTCGATTTATTGCAGTAAACTCTTTAGCGGCAATAAAGTTCCCAGATATCACCAATCGTTAAGGCGCCGGTTTCTTTGTTGTTGTTATCGTCATCGCATAAGTACGTATTTTCAGGATAGAACGCGATACTGTGTTTATTCGCCCAATAAAATGGCCGGTTGTAAATTCTACGGTCTCCGTAATTGAATCTCTTTCCCCAATGGTTAAGGTTGCCAATGTCTCCCCATCGGTTGCAATGATCAGACAGGATCGAAGTATCGTCGGGAAGTTTTTGAAAGGTGGTACAAGCAGTAGGCCATGTTGCATCGAGGAGGAAGTGGTCGAGTACTTTGCGGCCAGCGGTATCATTAGTAGTCATGATATGAATGGTTCGTCCAGGACGGTTCTTGAAACAACGAAAGCGTAACTGATGGAAACCCATCGCTAGCCTTAATTCTTGGAGTTGCGGGGATTTCATAACATATCTGATATCTCTCCAATTAGAGATATCGCGATAGTTTGTACTCGTGATTACACCATGTTGACGGGGGCTCGTCGAATTTATCTTAGCCTGTTTTATTAATGTCCATCCACCTGAAGTAAAAAAGTACTCATCAAAAACCATTATACTAGCTCAATTATAACTAGGTCAATGAAAAGCATTCGAAAACACTTCAATTCAGCCACTTTAACCTTTTGCATTATTATATGCTTTCTAGAAATCTGATTGGTATAGAATAGTACGATTTGAGCCTGAATCGTACTATTTTGATACCGAATTGCAGCTGTTTGCTTGCCAATCACATTGCGCAAAACTAGAAATAGGCAAACCAATCAAATGATAGGATTTTGTGTAGTCAACCAATCAGACTACAACAAAAAGGTCACACAAAATGTAACTTTTCTTAATATGTTTTACAGCAAAATGTAAGTGCCAAAAGGAGCAAATTGGATTATTTCAGCTCTTACTTATAGTTTTAGATGACAATGTAAAATCTCAGTGTGATTTGATATTTGTAGGTCCTGACTTAAGCGCAATCCGTTACAACCAAACCCGTTACAACCGATTCAGAATCAACCCGCTAGAAAGGGTTCAGGAAGCTAAAAATCCTTAGTACTATACTAGGTCACCAACCGGCTACAGAGGGTTCGCCAAGCCGTTACAACCGAACTCGGTATAACCGATTCAGAATCAACCCGCTAGAACGGGTTCATAAAGCTAAAAATCCTTAGTACTGTACTAAGTCACCAACCGGCTACAGCGGGTTCGCCAAGCTGTTACAACAGGTTGTGAGTCAATCGGCTAGAAAGGTTAGCTAACCCGCTGTAGCCGATTGGTGACCTCGTATAGTACTAAGATTTTTTAGGTTCCTGGTCCCGTTCTAGCAGCAACTGAACATCGTGTCWTGCAATTTTGGCAAGAAATCAAACTTGCATTGAAAAATCGCGGTTTTGCAATTTTTTTGTCGCGTGCTTGATTTCAGTTCAATTACCATAATTATTCACGCTTTCGTTTGGTGCCATGATATTAACTTAGTTTAGTATAATATTCAGAAAAGTATATGATTTCTATATGTATGTATACTTGGGTATTTTAATTAATACAATATATAACGAGACTTTCATAGAGTAAATGGCATAAATAGAAATCTATATGCTATATTTTCACATAGTGATACGTCCAATCAGAAGCGCGTATATATAGCATTTCTCACACTGTAAAAATATAACCAATCACAACACAGAAAAACCGTAATCAGCCAATCAGAAAGCGACGTTCACAACACGAGAAAGAGAGAAACGAGAAAGCACTATGGAATGTAAAAAATGGAAAGACGAAAGCCAAGAGTGACGAGGTAAAAATGACAAACTTTATAAGTTTATTTTAAAACTTGTATTTTTTGCCTGAACTATTCTGGCTTTTAATTTTGATTGCTTATATCATTTTTATAAAATTTCTCTATATTTTAATTTCTTGAATCTTTGAGAAATGAAACATTTGAGCTAAATAATCATGTACGAATGCGGAAAGTTGTGCGTGTGCGTTTTTCGCTAAAAAATTGAAATAAAATTCTTCATTAGTCATCTTGTCAATTTTTTTTAATCATATAATAAACAGAACATTACATGGTCGCTTGGAGATATGGATTTTATCTTCTCGTGTTGAAAAGATATCCTACTCGTTCGCTACGCTCACTCGTAGGATATCAGTTCAACACTCAATCCGCGCGCCCATTAGTCCAGTCCTGGCCTTTCGTTTCCGACGCTCGCGGAATCGCTGGGGAAAGAGAGTCCAGTATAACTTGCATGCGCATGTGCAGGACCAGCCAATCAGAATAAAGTTGAATTTTGAGAGCCCGCAATTTATAATGGTCAGTGGTTTGTTTACTTCACGTGCACGCAGACAAAGGGAAAGAGAGTATAGATCAAGGATTCTTCCAAAGCCAGTACTAAGATTTACAAAAACATCTTTTCCAATTGTTAATTCGTGAATGGCTTGAAGCTGTTCGAACTTAGGACTAAAATTATATTTACATTTTTTAAGGCATAACTAACGGCATTTAGAAAAGCCGGTCCAAAATTATCTTTGTATTTCAAGTGGAAACTACCTTCCACCGCGCTCTCCGCCATCTTGGTAATTGTATAGGACTAGGTAACCTCGTGATTACCACATCGGTGTGGTAATCACGAGGTCGCTAAGCTGACATGCGCATGCAAGTTATACTGGACTCTCTTTCCCCAGCGATTCCGCGAGCGTCGGAAACGAGGCCAGGACTGGACTACGCGCCCATGTGATATCCTCTATATAATTGACCTGAATCAGTAGTCATATCACAGTAGACAATGAAGGGTTGCCCAGTGTTTTCAGGATCAACCCAGTATTCTCCATCTCCTCGTGAATAGCCAAGATCTTTAATGCCCTTGCATGATCGAGCCACTAAAAAAAAACAGAATAAGAAAGAAAGGGCTGCAGTTATTTTGTAAAACTTTAGGTGTAGAAATGCAGTAAGTGGACTGTGAACTGAACAGATACACTAATGGTAGATTCCAGTGACTTTAATCCGTCATCTACATGCGTCTGATGCGCAACGTGAATGAGAATACTTAAACCATAATGCTCCATACAAACAAGAAGGTTATATTATTTCCCAATTCACTAGGTTTTCTTTGTTATCCATAGTGTTGTATATATGAGACCAATTGAAACTTAAAGCCTGGGAGGGATTTGATATTCAGCAGTGAAATGTGGGCTTGAATTGAATAGCATAAATAACGATACCAGTAC